CTCTCTCTCTCCTTCCCTCCCTCCCTCCCTCCCTCCCTCTCTCTCTCCCTCTTTACCCCTTCCTCCCCTTCTCCTCTCCCTCTCTTTCTTCTTTCTCCTCCTCCTCCCTGTTCCTCCCCCACCTGCTAGATTATTCCACCCTCCCCTCTTTTTCTCCTGCCCTCCTACAGTGGATTCACGCTCAGCCTTTTCTTTGTGACAGACCATGGTAGTCAAGGGGAGGTGAAGTTTTCATTGTTCTAAGGGATGGAGAAGCCAGAGAAGCTGCCCGAGGCCACTGGGTGAGGGTCAGGAGCCTACTCCAGGCTCAATCACGTGCTGTGTTTCTGCAGCTGCTTGGCCGGTGATCGGTGATGGTGATCGCTTGGGATGGCAACCCCAGAGACCAGTACTCAGAAACTTAGCTCAGACATTCCCCACCTCCAGGAAGCCCTCTCTGGCTCCTCCCCCAGTGCCTGTGAACTGGCTTTCTCCCACACTCACCTCCTTACACTGAAGGGCACAGACAGAGTACACCACCTTGACTCAGCCAGGTTAGGTCACCGTGCCTTTAGGAAGGAAGGTTCTGGGGCCTAGGGGCCTGCCTGCTTTACCCAAGATTCTGTATGCTGGGAGATCTGATGGAAAACCACCAAGGAGGATTAAGCCTAGGTCAGCAGGACCAGAGCACAAAGCGATTATTTAAGTCTGCTCATACAGGGAAGTCCTTGTGAAAGGACTTGGCCCATTCGAGGCCACTGGCCTGGGGCAGCTCCCGGCTCACCTACCTGCCCCAGCCTCCCAGTGCCCCTCCTTGCTGTGAGCACCCAGGACTCAGCCGCTTGTGCCCAGAGAATCCATCTGGCCCCAGGACGAGTGGCATCTCCCCATCACACACACCCTGCACTCCTGGATAACCTCCAAGGGATAGCCTCCAGCACAGCACATTTAAGGATATTAAAGAGTTAAAGCCCTGACTCAGACCTGAGGTGGCTCGGCAGGAAAGGTGCTCACACCCAACTTCACAGCCTGAGTTCGATCCCTGAGATAAGGTGGAAGGAGAGCCAACATGGACCTCCACACACACATGTGCTGTGGTGTGTGCATACCCATGCACACATGTGTACACACACACACACATACATACATACATACATACATACACACACACACATACACAGACAGACACACAGACAGACAGACACACATACATACATACACACACAGACACACACACACACAAACACACACAGACACACACAGACTGGATGTCCTTGTACTCACAGATAAGCACCAAGGAATATTAAAGGGACCCAGGAATATTAAACGCATAGAGTTGTTCCGTCAAAGGAAGGGACGCATAACCTATTATCTGTCCAGAAGGCTAGGAGAGGACATGGTTAACAGTCTGGTGACCTTTGCGCTATCTGTGTGGCTGCGACCACACCGGATCCTTCCCCAGACCCTGTCTGTGAGCCTGTCAGTCTACAGAACCTATCTTTACAGAAGATGTCACATGTACTTTACAAAGAGTTTTGATATCGTCACGCCTTTGCTTTATTGTGCCCACAGGATTGAGCTATTATCACCAGGAGAGTTTTCGCCTAACTGGGCTGTGTATAAATAGACCTAAAATAATCTACTAGGGGTTAGACTCCCGAAGTTTGAGCCAACACCAGCTACTTAGTCTTGTTGAACTGAACTACCTTCTCGCCTCCCAAGGATCACGACTCTGCAGGCTGTAGCCCTCCTTCCCCTCCCCCTCCCACAACAGATGCACACGCACACACACACACACAGACATACACGCACACACACAAATAAATGTAATAAAAGAATCCAGCTTCGGCTCAAGCCTGATAAAGTAGCTTATTTCTGCTACGGGGTGGTCAGATTTATTTTGGGAACAATAGGGATGACTATATGTCTTCCGCAGGGAAAAATCTGCAAAAGTCACCTAGAAGCTGCAGGTTCATGTGACGAGGATGCTGGACAGGGACCCAAGAGCTGGACAGGGGTTTCCAGCAAGTTACCACACCAGGCTGGGCCACTCTGGGGTTGGGAGTCTGAAGCCCTAGTTCCCGGGAGCTCTAGAGTCCTGTTCTGTGGAGTGTGATGTCTAGGGTCAAATTCTTTTGCTGTGGAAAGCACAGGAAAGGACTGCAAAGGCTATAAAGGAAAAGGGCAGAGAAGACATGATTCGACTGTGGGCGGGACTCGCAACACAGACCTGTTAAATGCCTGTCTGCCCAAGACCCATCAGAAAGATGTATTTCTGCAAAGATGAAACCCTCACGCCTCTGCGAGGTCTCCATGGTCCCTGACTAGCTACTGACCCATGCGCTACCATTATATACGTCCTATAGAGGGGAAAACAGGTTTGGAGCTGAGTCACTCACTTCAGGCTACACGGTAGGGAGCTGAGATCTACAGACAGGCCCCACTGGCTCCAGAGTCTGAACTCCCACCCTTCCTCCGCTATGATTCACGACCTCATGCTGAGCCTGAGCTAGCCTGCTCATGCTGAGCCTGAGCTAGCCTGCTCTGATGGAAGCTGCAGGCCTAGACTTTATCAACACATACCAAGGCTGACTCCTGTCATTTGCACACAGCAGACAAGTTGGCATCAGTCCCTGCCTGCTCCATAGTCTTCCTGGGATTTATTCTCGAATACCCTAGAAGCTGGACCATGCCTTCCTTTCCCATGACCCCAGGGGACCTGCCGCTGTCGTGGCTGTCATTTATCTTGTAAGAACGTTAAAGTCTGGGCAGGTTCTTGGTTTGCAGGCAGGAATCCTCTGGTGGATGTAAACCTTCACCTTTGTATGTTTTTGCGTGGGTGTTTTGCTGGGTAGCCCCCGATGCAAATAGCCTCCTTGATATCCCCTGTCCTCTCAGCAGCCTCCCTGTGATTCCTCACATTTGAAGTGGCCTACCCTGGGGGCCCATACCTTTTACTTCCCTCCACCTGGTGCCGTCCTGCCCTCTAGCCTATACCCCCAGGAAGTACCTTCTCCTCCGCAGATTTCAGTTCTGGGCTCAGTACCCCCTCGGTATCCTTCTCACCCTCACTGGGAGCAGCTCCTGTATTCTGCTTGTCAATCCTTGCACAGTGCCTGGTATGACTGTGGCCTCCTTGTTGATCTACCGGGTGGCTGGTTTAGACTCTCTGCTAACAGGATGTCAAACTCGCCTGTGGGATTTGTTCCCTGTGGTGTACAGTAAGGCCCACCAGCTACTGCTGAGCAGTGGCATTCAGTAAATGCCACAACTAACGCTGAGCTGGGGCGTCCTCGGGCCACATCAGTCAGACAACCTGCTCCCGGTAGCATTGTCTGGCAGAATGGGAGAGAAGACAAGACTTCTTGCACAGGAGATACCACTGGCCTAAACTAAAAAGCGTGAGGGCAGCTGACTAGAAAGGAGGCGGTGGTCAGCCAGGTCTTAGGTTGAGGGTCTGCGAGCGTCTGACTTGCTGGGCACTTGGAGGGATTGTAATGTTCTGAGGTTGCCCTCGTGTGGCCAAGGTGGGTATGACGGCTGCCTAAGCAAACAACTCACTTCCACTCACCAGACAGTCTTCACTTTATGGAAAGTGCCGCTGTTGTCCCTTCCCAGGCTCTGCCACATTCTTGGAGTCACCTTCTGCAACAAGAACACAGCCCATCAGAACAGACGTTCTGGTTGAATTCCCGCACCGGCCTCCTGTGACCATCACAGGAAGTCTGGATGCCTTGGCACCGCGTGGCAGCTGGCCCCAGGCTCCCAATCGAAATGAATCCTCTCACGTCTGCACATGTAGCTCTCCTCCGGCCTCAGCAGGGCTCCTGCCTGCATTTCTCTGTTTCTTCTTCAGTACGCTGGGGACTGAGCCGAGGGCCTCAAGCACTCTAGATGCTGTACCTTTGAGCCATATCCTTGGCTTTCCTACCTACCCAATACACCCAGCTCATTCATCACATGCTGCAACCACGGGGTCAGCCACAGGGACAGCCACGGGGACAGACACAGGGACAACCACTGGGGCAGCCACAAGAGCAGCCACGGAGCAGCCACTGGAGCAGCCACTGGAGCAGCCACAAGAGGAGCCACTGAGGCAGTCACAGGGACAACCACAGGAGCATCCACGGGGGCAGCCACAAGAGCAGCCATGGGGACAGTCACTCCTCCCCCAGATCACCACACTTGCCCTTCTGCTGCCAATGCCTCCAATTCCATAGCCTGAGTTTTCTTGCTCCCTCCCTAGGAACTCCTCTGACAACCTGGCCTGAAGAGTCCTCATAGTATCCGGTGTGTGATATCTGTAGCCTTTGTCACCAGGATCATGAAGTGACCACGGCGTAGGCTTTATGAGTATTTAAATTTCCTGTCTGGGCTACTCTGACAAGAACTAGGGTCATTGCATTTGCAGATGGAGCCACAGCCCTGAGTCACTGGCAAGCAATGCCTGACAAAAACATGCTCCATGGATGGGAGGGTGGAGGACAGGTGAATGAGTGAGTAGGTGAGTGGTGGATTCATGGAGTGGGTGGGTGGGTAGATGAATAAGGAATAAATGAATTAATGGAGAGATAAAATTGGATCGGTAGGGTAGACGGATGAGTGAAACAGGTAGATCAAAAGATGAGGTAGAAAGATCAAGAGAGGGATGGAAGGAAGAAGGAATGGGTGGAAAAATGGGTTGGATGACCGAAGAGATGAATGGAAGAATGGGAAAAGGATGGATGGATGGATGGATGGATGGATGGATGGACAGGTGGGAGGGTATAAGAATGGATAGGTGGATGAATGGATGAATGGATGTATGTATGGATTCTCAGATAAATCAGAATAATCAGAAAGATGGATAAAGGATCATCTTCTACAATCCTCTGCATGAGGGTAGAAGACGTAACCGTGCCCATCCCCAGATTCTGACCAGAGAGTGAGGACATGATTTGCCTGAGCCCCTCTCTGGCTCACGTCTGTCCTTCCCAGTATCATAAGGACAGGTCTCGACTTTATTTCTCAGACCTAACTGCCATTTCGTTCTCTCTAACTCAGTCCTGGTCTTTTGAAATTTATATGCTTTCTTCCCTTTCTTGTGTCTTCTTCAGAGAAACAGCACCTTCTTCCTCTCACCTGGATAGACCTTGTGAAGCTTCTGTCGCAGGATCCGCCCCTCTGCAAAACAAGCAAAAGGAGAAAGCTTCTAGGAGCTCTGGAGCTGTTACAGCTTCCAGTTACAGCTCTGTGCAAATGTTTTGACATTATTTTGAGGGACAAAGGGGACCCAAGACCAAAAAGTTTGGGATACTGTCTGGACCATAAAGCTCTCTGACCACTGACCCAGGAAGGAAAGACTATGCCTCAGGGTGGCCTCAAGCCCACAGTTTATTCTCTGTGTGTATGTGTGCATGTTCGTGTGTGTGTATGTGTGTGTGTGTGGATGTGTATGTGGTGTGATGTGTGTGCATGTGTATGTGGTGTAATATGTGTGCATGTGTGTGTGGTGTGTGATGTGTGTGCATGTGTGTGTTGTATGATGTGTGTGCATGCATGCTTGTGTGTGCATTCATGCACATGTGTGTGCATGAGTGTATGCCTGTATATGTTTGGAGGCCAGAGAAGGACATTAGTATCCATTTCTTTTTTCTACCTTGTTCCTTTGAGGTGGGGTCCTTTGAACTTGGAGCTGGAAGGGAGATTAGATCCCCCTTAGTCTGTCCTATGCACCCCAGTGCTGGGATATCACACCTGGCCACACCCACCTTTTTTTTTTTTTAACATAGACTCAGGTCCCTATCCTTCCTCAGCAAGGGTTCTCACCTATCTCTCTAGCCCAGCAATTAATTGTCAAACGGCCCAATAAAGCACACATGTCCATTTCTATGGGGCGTGGGAAGAGAAAAGACCTGTTTTAACCATGCCGGGCCTCCAAGGTGGTTCCAGTAATGTTCCTGCAGCCCTTCTGTATCCCTGAGGTTACTCTGAATCTGCAGTTTTAATTTAATTAATTAATTAATTAATTAATTTTAGGTTTTTCAAGACAGGGTTTCTCTGTGTAGCCCTGGCTGTCCTGGAACTCACTCTGTAGACTACACTGGCCTCGAGCTCAGAAATCCACCTGCCTCTGCCTCCCAAGTGCTAGGATTAAAGGCGTATGCCACCACCACCCGGCCTGAATGTGTGGTTTTAAAAAACTGCTGTTTTTTTTTTTTCCTAACAGTGTCTCTCGGTCACTGTGGCACATGTGTTCGTATACTCTGCTGAGAGCTTTGTCCCTCTGGTGAGGGGCTCTAAGATGTTTCCAAACTCAGATCTAATTATCACCAATTATTTCTAAGTGACAGCACTGAGGTCAAGACTGGGAGAATTCACTTCCACCTGGGAATCTAGAGGTGTCCCTGTAGGAGAGGAGGCGTCCACAGCACACACGGGCATGTGCGGTGCATGCACACACAGCTGCATGCTCAGGTGAACACAGGAGCTTTGCAGCTCATGATGGGACAGGTTCCCGGCCGGATTCCTCCCCCTTCCTGTGCCAGGGATAGAGGTGGCACACACTCACTGAGGAGCTGCTGTGTATTCATCTGGTGGGACATAAGCTCCCCGCTGACATCGACTCAAGCCTTAGAATCTGCCTATGCAGTAATCAACCCATTACCACCCAAGACCCATTTCACAGATAGAAAAACTGAGACTAAGAAAGTCTGGTGAGAGGGCGAGGGCACCTAGGAAGGAATCGTCAGGCTATGAGCAGTTTCTGATGTTCTGAGCTGCAGTCTTGTCTCCAGGATTTCATTCTCCTGTTTGGGTATCCATGGTGTGATCTTGTTGGAGAGCCCATTTTCCGTGCTTTGCTTCCTTAGGAAATGAGCCCAGTTGGGTTCAGACTCTCTAGAACTTGTCTAGACTGGTTTAAATTACCTCAATCTTAGAAACCATAGAACCAAATGAACAAGATCAGACCAGCAAGGCCGTCTTGGGGCGGGGATGCAGTTCAGTTGGCTGAGTGTTGCCTCCATCCACAAAGCCCCGTGCTCTATCCCATTGTACATAAACCCAGAATGGTGGCTTATGGTGTAGGGTCTGTAATCTCAGCAGGGGAGGACAGAAGAATTAGAAGTTGCCAGGCAGTGGTGGCGCAAACCTTTAGTCCCAGCACTTGGGAGGCAGAGCCAGGCGGATTTCTGAATTTGAGGCCAGCCTGGTCTACAGAGTGAGTTCCAGGACAGCCAGGGCTACACAGGGAAACCCTGTCTTGGAAAAAGAAGAAGAAAGAAGAAAGAAGAAAGAAGGAAGAAGGAAGAAGGAAGAAGGAAGAAGGAAGAAGGAAGAAGAAGAAGAAGAAGAAGAAGAAGAAGAAGAAGAAGAAGAAGAAGTTGTTGAAGGCCATCCTTAGCTACAATAAGAAGAGAGTCCAGGCCAGCCTGGGCTACATGAGACCTTGTGAGAAAGAGGCAGGGATACGAGGCTTCCAGTGTATGAAGCATCCCTAGGGATGCTCGGGTCTCTCGTGGAAGGCATCTCTCTATCCTGCAGTGCTAGCCAGCAGCCTGCTTCAGGAGTTCTATAGCTGGAGGTCCACTCCTCAAGCCCCCTCAGCAGCACCTGGTATCTAGGGACTGGCATCAATAAATGGGCAGACGCTACTCCATGTGGAGCCATGATGGTCTTGTGTGTGTGTTAACCTGGTTGTTCCCTACAGATCCTCGACTAGAGGCTTGACCCCTCTGCCTCAGCCTATTTCACAGACTGGACCTTGTCACTTGCTGCCTTATCCATGACCTCCAGTGACACATGTTAATGATAACCAGCTGCCATGGGAAGCGAGGAGTCTCAGACAATTCAAATTGGGAGGTTTGGGCCTCATGGATGGCTCAGTGGGTAAAGGTGCCTGTGCTGTACCCAAGCCTGATGACCCGAGTTCAAGTCCCAGAACCCACAAGAAGCTAACAGGAGAGAAGGGACTCTTCAAAGTTGGCCACAGATGTGGACCATGGAACATCCGCTCGCTCTTCCCTCATCATACACACATATACAATAACAGACTTTGAAAATTCAAATTCTGTGGGGTTAAACATTGATCTAGGGATAGATACATAAGATTCGGTATCCCCAACACCTGTGCCTGCCTGGCTCCACTCCCAGAACTCTGCATGCTTTCACCTGATCTTATGACAACAGGAAGTGGTCCCATTTTACAGGGGAAGAAACTGAGGCTCAGAGAGGCAAAGAAATTGACCCCAAGGCCACCCAGGTAGCAGACACAGACAGAGCTGGAATTACAGGTAGGAACAGGACCCAGAGGGACAGGAAGAGGGGCTCAGGGGACTCTGAGCCAGGCTTGGGGTGACAAGGTGTTCTCAGGCAGTGGAGTTGGGGTCGGTCCAGGGCAGTTTGGACCAGCAGCGCTCACCTGCTTGCCGGCGTTGCTTGACACACTGTCCATGGTTGGGTATGCCCTGAGCTGCGTCCCCTGGCCGCAGGATGTGGCACTCATAGCCTGAGGGACAGAGAAGTGGTTCCGCCCCGTCCTCGGTGGTGCTGCATGTCTCTGCTGCAGAGGGACACGGGCCAAATCTCAGATAGCAGACCTGGGGAGCAGGCAGTGCACCCCATCCAGAGAGGCCAATTTCTACCCCTACCCAGATGCCAGGCCATGTTTGTGCCTCTCACACAATGCACACATATACCCTCAGACACCAAGTCACGTTTATACATACACGTGCACCCAAAGAAGCCACCTCCTACCTGCTGTCAGACTCCAGGCTGTACCTTGCATACAGACACCTCGAGAGAACACCTCCTGTCAGCACCCCTACACACGCACACAATCACAGCGCCCTAAATGCACCACCGTACAAAGATCAACATGCGAACACACTACACCTGTATACCCTGAATCATGCACGCATAGCTACAGCCACATGTGTACACAATACAACCACCCACAATCAACACATTTACACACATGCTTTCACACACATGTGCTTATTCACAGACTGTCTAGTGAGGAGGGCAGGTTCTGATCTAGGGACCTGGTGCCCAGGGGCAGGCAGATACCTTGTAACACTTCCTCAGGACCATCCAGGAGCCAGCCATTGCCACCAAGCCATCGTGGTTTGGGCTGAACCAGCCAGTCTAGAACTGACAGAGAACTGGGTGAGAGGGAGGGGGGTCTTCTTGGGGCGAGGTCATGTGACCAGCCCTGGGGGAGGGGCACATCATCCCATAGGAGAGGTGAGGATGGGATGTGGGACACGCCCTGTGGGACACACTACAGGCTTGCAGCATACGGGTGACTGTCATCCTCATGTCCCCTAATCCCACAAGGCCACGCTCCAAGGCAGAGTACAAGCAGGCTACCAACTGAGCATGTCCCGCCCATGCAGAGACACATGTAGTTTGAATTTTATTTTCAGGGTGTGTGTGTTGTGTATGGTGTATGTAGGTGTTTATGTGTGGTATATGTAGGTACGTGTGTGTGTGTTGTATATGGTGTATGTAGGTGTGTATGTGTGGTGTATGTAGGTACATATGTGTGT